CACTACAGTGTCTGGCAATCCCATCAGTGTCCCTCACTGGGTCAGTCAGATTTCCCCTTACCCAGGGAGGTACTAGTTACCAGGTGGTGAACATGCTTCTCTGATGGTTTATCCCACGCCACCTTTTCATCTCTTAAACTGCCTGGAGAGGAGAAAGAGAAGAGGGGACACTGGTCTCTTCCTATGTTATTTGTCCTTGGGCTCCAGGGATGGAGGAACCTGCCTGGGCAGAAGTGTCCTTACTGCTCCATTCCATTTGGGGACCCATCCGTTGCCCCCATGCCAAACATATGGGACCGCAATGAGAACCATGTGGTTGTCTTCCAGAGGATGGGGATGGCCTTCCTTCTAACGGGGCTTCGAATGCTGAAAAGTACCCTTGGATGCTTGGATTATGGTCCTTTGTCATTTACCTCCCAGGTGTCTCCCACAAGACCTGCAGCTCCCTCTGGATTAGGAATGAAAGCCCGAATTCAGGATCATCAAATGTCCTAAGTATTCTCAAAGTTCAAAGTGTCATTCCTTCATTCATTTATTACAATGCATAAAAGAGGCAAAAGTTCCCCATGACCCTGGGGCCAAGGATTAGAGATGTTTGTTCCAAAGGCTTTTACTGCTTTTCAATCTAGAAAGAGAGCAAATACGTTACTTTTTCCCTCTGACTTTTATATTTTCCTCAGATGTAGGACGGTGGCTGGAAAGCCAGATATGCCCATAAACTTTTGGAGGAACTGTCCAAACTTTCCAAAGGGCTCTTTGGAGTTACAGAAGAAAACTCATTGAAATCTCTGACTCAGAGGTCCTATCACTGAGCATCTAGCTTAATGTGGTCACAGACAGAAAGAAAGGCCTAGTATTTACAAAATAGTCATAGTAGTAGAACTTTGAGGGCTAGCGAAATTTAAAAAGGAAATATAGTGGGTACCCAGTGCTTGGGAAATGGCCAAATAAATTACCATATAGAAAGATAATTGAATAATGAATGCTGCATCCTAACAAACAATAAATACAAGTAAAGCAGGAGACCTTAGCCAAACTTCCACAAAGTGACACAAGGTCAAGGAAGCCAAACCAGGGGAACAAAATACATAGTGGAAGCAATGCAAAAATAGTACTCGGAGGCAGGGGAACCTCAGTAAACTGCAATGGACTAGCCTTGGTCACAGAGGAGGAAACACATCCCTTCTCTCAGTAGGGAAATGGGAGCCTAGAGGCACAGAATGTTGCTTGTACTGCCAAATGGAAAGGCGGAGGAGGAGGAGGAGGAGAAGAATGAGGATGATGATGATGACGATGATGACAATGATGATAGCTAACACTTATATAGCACCTACTGTGCGCCAGGCCCTGTGCTAAGCACTTCACAATTATTATCTCATTTGATCCTCAGAACGACCCTGGGAAGTAAGTGCTATTACTACCTCCACTGAATACAAACTGAAGCAAATAGAGGTTAAGTGACTTGCCCAAGGTCACACAGCTAGGAAGTTTCTGAGGCTGGATTTGAACTCAGGTCTTCCTGACTCCAAGCCCAGTGCTCTATCTACTGATCCACCTGGCTGCCTCGATCACATGCTGAGTGTGACATGATTATGTGAGGAGAGGGAAAGTACAAAGAACTTGGGTTACCAGGAGAAGCTAGGGATTCTACTCAATCTCTCCATCAAAAAGCCTTTATTAAGTGCTTGTGCATATGCCAGACACTGTGCTAAGCAAAGAGGAAACCAATCAATCACCCGTTGCTTATTAAGAGCTTGCAATGGCGCCCATCAGCCTGGGAGTTCCTGCAGGGCAGGGACTGATTTTTGTCTTTGAATCCCCAGTGCCTGGAACATTGTAGGCACTCGGTAAATACTTGTTGACTTTCCTACCCAAACCTTCTTTTGTCCTGTGGTATAAGGAGTTCCAGAGTCAGGGCCTGAGAGCTGTTTGGGTCTTGTGGCCTGAGCACGTGGTTGAAGTGACTTATTGAATCCCAGAGTTGCTCTGATTGGGGAAGACGGGAGAAGATCTGCCCGGCTTCTGCTCAGCTCCCAAATGACACCAGTGCTGTCCTTGAAGGACAATCATCATTCTGGTTTCTAAAGAGTGGAAAGATATGAGCAAGTCCTTGGACCCTGTCTCAGAGGAAGAGAAACAAAAACACTTCCTTGTATAATCATAGGAGCTCAGATGGAGAGCTAGAAGAGACCATCAGGTTTGGGTCCCTCATTTTACATATGAGGAAACCGAGGCACAGAAAAGTTAGGTGGCCTCCCCAGGGTCACACAGCTAGTCAGTATCTGAAGTGGGACTGGTCACCTTCCCCAAGCTCAGTGCCCATCCACTAGCCCTTGCCTCATTCTGCATCCATTGTATCCCTTCTATAGAACGTAAGCTCCTTGAGGGCAGGGACTGCTTCATGTTGGCTTTTAAACTCAGCCTTACATAGTGCCTAGGACACAGCAGGTGCTTCATAAATTCTCGGTGACTGAGATCCTCAATGTTTGGCCCAAGCCTGGCCCACAGTGAGCACTGAAGGCTTGTTGGTAGACTGGCCGATTAGCATCCCTCACCTCCTTCACACTCACCTCCAGTGGAAGCTTTTTCTGATGCTCTCTCCAGCCTCACACAGTTGCGTAGACTTGTCTCAGTGCAGCAGAATGCAAGCTCCCTGAAGGCAGGTACCACATCTCTATCTTTGTGTCCCCAGCACCAATACAGTGCTTTGCAGAAATAGCCAAATGTTTGCCCCGTTACACTGGTCACAGGTCAGCGCTTAAGTACGCTTGAGCAAAGCCTGCCACTGGCACTGAGCCGTTCAGCGGTGCGTGGGTAAAGCACCCTACTCTTCACCGCCACGGAACCAGATGCACCACCATGTCTGGGCACCCAAGCCGAGAGCTTTGCCAGAGGGCTCAGCCTGGGCCACGCGTAAAGTGTAGCGTGCCTGAACTAACATCACCCCTAGCCCTGGGGGACTCTGGCCTGAGAAAGCAGAATTTTCAGATGGCTTAATATGAGGGTACACGCAGCAATGCATCAAGCTGGACCCTACTTCATTAGGGCTTGGAACTTTTCATCTATCCTGAGTGAGTGGCCATAAGTGGAACCATAATAAAAAACACCCCTTTCCATGGCACCTTGAAGTCCTCGCAATACCTCTCGGAAGTAGGGTGACTAGACCTGCCATGCCCATTTTGCAGATGGGGAAGCTAACGTCCAGAGGAACAGAGTGATTTCACCATGGTCTCACAGCTAGTAAGTGCTGAGGGCAGGATGTGAGCCCTGGCTTCCCAGCTCTCGGTACGTTATTGAAACCTCCACACCAAAGTCATTTGTTTACCGTCAGTTGGGGACCATGAGGTCACGCATTTAGTCTGAAGGGCCCAGCCCCGTCACGTTCCTTGGGCTTGTGGCACAGTGGAAAGTGACAGGATCTGTAGCCAGACACCTGGGGCCATGTAGTAACTGTGGGACCTTGGCCAAGTCACTTAGCTTGTGCCTCAGTTTCCCCCCCACCCCCGGGAAGGTGAGGGGGTTGTACTAGGCTGCCTGTGGGGTCCTTTGCAGTGCTAGATTTATTTAACTTCTCTCTCATGTTGAGGCCTCGGCTTCTTCCTTCCTAAGTTGGGAAAGCTGGACTAGGGAGCTCTGGGGCTCCTTACAGCGATCCAGCTATGACTGCAAGCTCCTCCTCCTCTCTGGGCCTCAGTTTCCTTTTCTGTAAAGATGAGGGGGTTGGATTAGATGACTTCTGAGAGCCCATCCTGTTCTGAATCTCTCACCCCAGGATCCTACCTAAGCTACCAACAGTAACCCTCTCTTGGCGCACAGAGGGTTTGTCCGTGTCAGCTCTACTCTTATGTCGGTCCTTCCCAGTATAACCCATCTGGGCACCACTGAGCATGAAAAACGACCCGTTGGATATCACATACCATGGAACCTTTGGGCGTGTGGGCTGGACTCCAAAGCTGCTGAGGGCCTTCTCAACTTTCCAACTGTGGTCCAACATTGGGATTCTTAGGAAACTCTTCCCACCACACCGGGGAACTTCAGAAGCCCTCATGCAGTGTTGGAAACTTGAAATTGGGGTTCATCTGCCCCAATAAAACCAGTCTAACCACTGTCTGATGGAAGCTGTAAGGTAGCAGTACATCTGAGATACCCTGTCTGGAGAAGCAACAGACAGGAGGCCCTGGGACCAAAAAATGCCCTCGAACCAGACAAATCTTGGGGCCAATAAGGCAAGTGTCCATCGAGGGGTCTGATCAATCAGGCTGAAGGCCATGCCAACTCTGGCCTGAGACACAAGAGGAGGGGCCACCATGATGCCTCAGTTCATAGAGAAAGCACTCAAGCAATTGAAAAACAAAATACAAAACAAAATGGTCTTTCTTCTGAAGGAGCACAGAGAGAACCCAAAGTATACTTAGCAATGAGATGAAAGTCGACATCCAGGACGCCTGATCAATATCGTCATCCCTCCAGGCACCAGTGAATTACAATTTCTAGGTGAAAAGTCAAGAGTGCCATATCTTACACCATAGAGATAGCTCTGCCCCACTCGTCTGCAAACCGCTTATCTGTAGGGTGCAGAAGCTGCCCCCCAGCAGTTTTATTAATTGTGGGTACCTCTGCTCTAGCTCAGCACTCTCTGCGAGTCAGGTGGCTATTTCCCCTCAGATTTCACACTGGGAGCTGACTCGGGCCCCTGCCTTCACATGGGCTTCGGTTAAACTGGGGGAGAAATGCCAAGCCTGCCATGGCTGGGAAATCTTGGCACTGCCCAGTCCCAGGCCAGCCTCCATCTGGAAAGGGTACGGACGGAGCTGGTGGGCAGCAAACCAAACCAAACGCATCCCCCAAGCTCTCGGGGGAGAGCCAACCCCCTAGGGCAGCACTGGGCGCGCACGCTAACATTGGCACTGCCCCTGGCTGGGCAGCAACCGGGATCATCCACAGACGCATACGATCAGCTGGGCTCCCCACGCCAGCAGGAAGTAGCGGCGCCACCTTACCTGTTTCTTTGTCCTGGACTTCTTCCAGGTGCAAGTCATTCAGGAGGTGCTCCAAAATCTTCTCGGGCGTCCCCGACACCACCACGTATCTGTCAGAAAGGAGAGGATCTGAAGACTCATCCTCCGTGGAAGACTGGGAGCGGCTACTCCACTCGTCCTCCTCATCCTCCTCGTCGATGTATTTGAAATAAGGCACATCAAAGGTGGGCAAGGGCAGCTGGCGGCCGCCGGAGAGGGCGGCGGAGTCCTTCCTCTCAAGGTGCGGGTCAAAGACCCTCAGCCGGGAGCTCCCCATTGTGCCTGCTTAGTAACAAAGGCATCTCCCCCTCCCTAGATGCTCGGATCTCTTGCCATCTCCCCGGCTCCCCGATAAGGCAGTCAGTCCATCTGGTGGCTCGGGGCTCTCTGCAGTCAGCTAGGACGTTCCAGAGGCGAGGCGGAGAGAAGAGAGGAGGGAGGGAGGGAGGGAGGGAAGAGAGGGAGATGGAGACAATCGGAGGGAGACGGACAAACGGAGAGGAGGAGGAGGAGGAGGAGGCAAACAGCCAGAGTGTGTCTGCTGCTGGAGGAAAAAAAAAAACACCCCAAGCCTCTCACCTCCAATCAGCGTGGGCGCTCCCTGGGGTGGGGGCCGGCCCCCATGACGACACCTTCTTGAATACCAGGACAGTCCCGTCTTCCTCTTTAACTTGTAAGGTTGTCACTTCGTCATCTCGCTGTAATTTGGGGGTGGGGAGAGGAAAGGCAGGGGAGACGAGGGGAGGAGAGAAAACAAAGAGAGAGAAAAGGTAAATGAGCGTGCAATGGCTGGGAAGCCCACCCACGGCAGAGGTGGGATGGCCTTCCTCCAAAGTTGGGGGACTGTGGTTTCTTGGGGCTGGAATGAAGCTGGGGTCCCTTTAAAGGAGCAGTTTAAGTTTGGGGGGAAAGCACTGGATCTGGAATCTGGGGCTCTGGGTTCAAATTCTAGCTGTGCGACACTGGGTAAGGCACTTCTGTCTCTGGGCTTCAAGATTCCTCCTATGGAAAAAGAGGAGAGAGTGGGCTAAGTGGTCTCTAAGGCCCTTCCAGAACTAATTCTTAGATCCTATGATCATCTGGGGGGTCTGAGGACCTGAGTTCAAATCCCATTTTGGTTATCGTGTGACCCTGGGCAAGTCACTTCCTTTTCGCTGGGCCTCAGTTTGCTCATCTGTAAAATGAGGGCATTTAGAGAATCACAGGGACCCCAGAGACCATCTGGTCCAAATCCCTCATTTAACATTTGAGGAAACTGAGTCCATGGAAGTTACTTAACTTGCCCAATGTCACACGAGTAGGAATGAACAGATTTGGGATTTGAACTCAGGTCCTCTGAAGTCCAGACTCAGTGGGCTTTCTACCATACAATCAGCTTAGACTCAGCAACCTCCAAGGTCACTTCCACCTCTAAAACAATAATCCCAGAGAACCACAGAAATCCTTTCAAGTATTTAGAGGAGAAAAGAGTTAAAAAGAATAAGGGCATAATTATTAAAAGCAAAAAACAAAAGTTCCTACATGAATATCATGAATCGGAGAATTCATAAATATACCAAACAATTGTGGTCTATTCACTGGACTTGTACTTTACTTCCTGAGAACTGGGGGCTCTTTCATTTGTCCCTCACCCAGGATCTGCCCCAGCCCAAGGAGGCTGCTCTGCCCCCGGGGTGGGGGGGCCCAGCCCCGATGGAGTGCAAGCCACCAGCGTCACAGGCCAGCTTTCAGGACAGGTCAATGACTCGGGCATCCCTGCCTCTGTGTCCTGGGTGACTCTGAGTGTCTCAAGACCTGCTCAGAAGGAGCTCCTGTTAGCAGCCCACCTAGGCTGAAATGTCTATGTTCTGGGTCAAGGAGTTGGCATCCCCCATCTCAGAGGGAGGGAGGAACAGG